TATCACAGCTTGTGAATTGTTTATATTCGACTCGTCTTGAGATGTGACCATTTTGGCGAGTTTAGTGGGACATTATCACCTGCTTGTTTACCTTGCCTTGATCTACCATAATTGCCTATCCGACTCGAATCTACTCGAATCTCTCTCAGCTCCGGAGATTCGTTTCCCATTATACTGACTGACTGACTGATTTCACCCAGTCTCAGTAAAAGTATACGTCTTAATCAAAGCGCTATTTCTCATGGTCTGCTACAAGCCTTTGGTCGAACTTATACTGTGGCTTCATCGAGTAAAGCGCCTAGGCTCTAGTTCCCATGCTTACAGATATCAGCCATTGTCTCTACGGTCCATCTCTATGATTCAGCCCTAGTACGTTGAGTAGACTGAGAAAGTATGCCTCTCGTCTCCTGCTGCATCTAGTAGATTTCTAGTCAATTTTTCTCCGATCTAGTCATAATGGCGAATTTCCTTTCCAGTTAGACTAGAAGATGCTGGACAAAGCAACGCCAATCCACTGAACTTCTTTATTTCTCCCCAACCATCTGAACAATCACTCCTAAAAACGTACCGTTTAATTTGAATGTCTTCCCATCATACCTCTTCCAACTCTTCATATGCAGTATAATTGAATCACTTTCATTCCTCTTCAAGCAGAGGATTGTTTCGTTATATCAGCTTATTTGCCCATGCTTATTCGCTTAAACATCCATTTATCAGCTAAACCTTCTTCCACTATTCTCATATTATGCTCATGTCCTCTACTTTCTATTTTTGCTTATATTTCCTAATATCCCCTGGATCGAACGTTCATTTACGCCTTCCAACAGACCGTGATACTTCTACACAGTCGGCGCTTGCCTCTGTCTGAGATTCCTTTGGAACGTGAAGCTGACATCTCGCTTGATCAAGTACCTGAGCTCACTGGGGCCCAGCTTCAAGAAGTCCTCTCACGCAGCTCGGCAGCCTCCGCGAGTGGCCTACTGCCTGGTGTGTGCTTAGTAAGGCCTCGACGTCTTGCTGATGAAGCCGACCGCCTGATGGCCGGTCTCCTTGATGGTCCTGTTAGTGGACGAGCAGATTCTGCGTCTACAGCAGCTGTGAATGGAGTAACTAGGCAGACGGTGGTTTCAAGGCAAGTAACTGCTCCTTTGCTCGACGCCGTGCTCGAATCTCTGGTCAATATAGCCTGTCAGCGACCTCAGTTCATGGACAAAACTCTCCAAGCATTTGAAACAGTCCATGGTGAGAGGTTTTCGGAAAAAAATATTTTTTTATCTTGACCTTAAGTTTAGTAATGGATTGGTTGATTGAGAATGCTTTCAGCCCGAAAGTTTCTGGGATTAAATTACACTGATTAGATTTATTCGTGTCTGAACTTTTTCATGTCATAGGGACTGAATTAACGTCTTTGATGAGCATGGACTTGCCAAGTCTCTAAAGAAAGTCTGGTTTCTCGCTTAAATTGGATTCCTTCTATTATGACCTTATATTGTCGATGCCTGTTGTCACCCTTGCCCTATGTCGAATCTGAAATAAGGAGCAGTCCAATATTTTAGTAGAATTATTCTGCACGGCTGGTCTGATGGACACTTCTCTCTGCTTTTTCCCTTGTTGTTTGTTGAGGAACCAGTTTCTTCGGAGGATATGGGGTCGAAGCGGGTCAATAAATTGAGGTATATGATAAGTTATATTTATATTTCGTGCAAATTCTTATTATAAAGCATATTCACTTGTGCTTGGGAATCTCATCTTGAAATAGCATTTTGTTGGCCTTGAAGGTCGATCGTAGCATCAGTATCATTTTGAAGTTATTTAATGAAACCCTTCGGTAGGCTTAGTCTGCTTCTTGGGCACCCTGGTGTCATACTAAGCTTGAGATGACTTTTATACTAGATAAAAAGAGATAGTACCCGAGCACAACTCTAGTTGAATCAAGTACTTAATGCAGAATCCTTTGATTACTTTCCGTCTACTCTGATTCTAGCTAAGGTGATTACTAACGGCTTACGGCAAAAAATACTAGCATCTCACATGGTTCAGCATCCTTACTCGCTCAACATATTTATTAATTAGTTAGTTTATCCTAGCTTGACTACTTTTGAGCTGATATCCTTGATTATAACCTTTACCTCCATTGATGTACGATCAATCTCAAAAGCTTTTTCACTTTTTTGAGGTTACATTCTCTTTACGAATGCCCTTCTATACCTTATCTTCCACCTTTTTACATACTCATTGGATTATCAGTAGTGTTCATCCTTCATTTATTATATTATTCTTCAGTTGTATATTCCATTTCTGTTTAACCATTTCTGTCCTTAGGGTTTAAGGTTCGTTTTGGTATACTTCCTTAGTCTCCGTTTTTGCGCTATGAAATATTTTCAAACTTTAAACCTGGTTAGTAAGATATGAAGACCAAGATGTTGTGGCCTCTGGTATGGTCGCACTTCTGGTTAGTAAGATTTACATATGAGTTGTGTTCACTTTATTTCGTTTAAGGTCGTGAAAGACTAGTAGTTGCATTTTCACACAATGATCTGAGGAAAAATTTAACTACTAGTCTTTCATCACCCTAAACGAAATAGGGTGAACACAATTAATATTTGATTTACTAGTAGTCTCGAAAACCTATTCAAAAATGAAAACAGTAAGATTTATGGAGGATATGAAGACCAAGATGGTGTGGCCTTTTTTGTGGTTGCAGTCTCCTTTCGTTGTATAGAAGTTGTTTGACTAGCTTACGAAAACAAGGTTAAACAACTTATAGTAAAATTTATGATTAGGCAATCTAAAATGTAGGATATAGCGAAGTTTTTTGACTAATAATCTTGTTTCTTAAATAAGTAGCTTTCCGAGACTACGAGACCACTACTACTAATCGTATATATGAGTTTTTTTCACTATTTCGTTTAAGGTGATGAAGGACTGGTAGTTAATTTTTCACACGATATAACTGACATTTCCATTGAATTTCGCATAACCTTGCTTTACCATAGGGTGTTTCATCCAGAGTGGACTGCAGTTTTGACCTAGCATATGTCTTATCAACAGCCCAAGCGATAGTCGAATCATGACAGTGCAGCCTATAAGTTCGGCACGTTAACGACTACCCCACATTGGGAAAACAAGGCCATGCGAAATTTAATGGAAACATTAGCTTTACTCATATTATTGTGGTAAAAATCATTTACCAGTCCTTTATCGCCCTAAACGAAATACGGTGAGCACAACTAATATATGTTATTTACTGGTAATCTCGAAAACTTATTTAGTTATTGTCGCTTCGTATTCCTATAATTAGTCAAATTTCAGGCAAGATTCCTGATATTGTAGTCATATTTCATCTCAAATGTGTTTGAACACCTTATCTTAATTCATCACCACCTTTTACTGCGGCTAGTAAACGTTATCTATTTTCTATAGCTTAATACTAATCTAAATTAGTCATTGAATTTCTTAAGTTTACTTAAGAGAATTGATGGCAAAAAGGACTGACCTTCCTTAAAAATTCACATTTGCCACGTGACCCAAAGGGCGCTCGTGGCAGTGTAGCCGAATGGTTAGCGTGTCAAGCTCAAATCCTGCACTGTCGCGGTTCGACTCCCGCTGAGAGTGTTGATAAGACCGATGCGAGGTCGAAACTACAGTCCACCCTGAATGAGAACAATTTTGGGGGAAGCAAGGGTATGTGAAATTCAATGGTAACGTCAGCTTAACTCATATCATTGTGGGAAAATTCTTCTACCAGTCCTTCATCACCTTAAACAAGATTGGGTTAATACATCTATTTTTGCAACAACAGACAGACAAATTGTCAATACAAGTTCTAAATTGTGATACTTTATCTTCCATACTTATGCATTTGGCTCTGTCACTTTGATAATATCTTGTATAATTCACATCTGTTTCATATTACAAATCTAACCCATTCGTTTTCTTAAGGATTTACTATTTCAATTTATATTATGTCTTTACTTCTACCGTTTTGCCATTGTGAATATAGTACCTTCTCTTATATTTGTGATGTATTCATCCTATTTCGTTTAAGCTGATAAAGGGGCTGCTAGTTGAATTTTTCCACAATGATATGAGTAGGCCTTACTTTTTCATTGAATTTCATATGGCCTTGCTTTCCCAAAATGTATTCTTATTCAGAGTGGACTGTAGTTTTGACCTAACCTAGGTCTAATCAGTAGCCCAAGCAATACTCGAACTCTGGTAGTGCACGAGTGCCCTTAAGTCACAGGAGAGGTTGCAGCTTTGCATGAATCTTTGATGAATATAATTTTTATCACTAATCCGATATCTAGGACAATAAGTGTCTAATCTGCAAGTTTGTTCATTTCCGAGTTTAACCTATTCGCTTAAATCTGTTATTTTGATAGATTTTGATCGTAGATATAATGGCTACGATGGTTTAACCTGTTTAGTCTTAGTCTCCTTTGATACATTTATATTCTATATCAACATCATTTCGATCGAGGATAGGAATACCAAGATGGTGTGGCCCTCAGTATCGTCGCAGTCTCCTTTCAACTTATAGAAATGGATTGACCTTGTTTTCATAACTTAGTCTTTTTATCAGGACGACTTGGTTAAGCACACCTTGTCCGAATTCCTATGCCATAGTAGTTATCACAATT